GTGGAGTTGAACATTAGTAGTCGTAAACCCAAAATTGGGTCGGCTGTTCAACGACGATTATATATATATATATAAAAATTACGAAAGAGCTTTTTTTTTTTTAATCAAAACTCGTGTTAAGACAACAATTCTGAATAGATTCGAAATTATTATCAGATTTGAGATGCACGCGTGCATTGAATATTGCGCTAAGAAAAATCTTAAAAATCATCAAGATTTTTGGATTTTGTAAAAATTAAAAAATTCCTATCACTTCCGTCCTTACAGTGTTATAAGACTTCATTATTATAGCTATTTAGTTATTGCGAGTTTAAAGGCATCTATCGAACCACTTAATCTTAATGATGTCATCATATTTTAAGATATGATCCGTAAAAAACATTTCGATATGCTTTTGCAATCTTATTTCAGCGACGTGACGAACTGTTGTTACTTTATCTATAAATTTATTTGCTTATCTATTGCTATTATTGTCTTCATTATTTTAGAATTGTCAAGGTAGCATTTTTCTCAAAACGATTGAAACCGGAAATGCATTTTGCCACAGAAACTTCTTGCCGTACGAGACAGATGTCCCGATAATGCCCCAATTTTATTAACGCCTGAGAAAATTTTTGGAAGTGTTGTAAGGAATGGCAAATTAACCACTTTCTTAGCTCTCACAAATGCATCATGCTCAACTTTTACATTTTTGCCATAAGCTGTCAGATTTCCGCTACGTGTCAATTTTTATCGCAAAAATCTCTCAAACATAGTAAATTGGATTTATTTTAAAATACATATATGTTCTTTTATTTCTTGCAACATAAATCACAATGAGGGTCATGTTTTGCCCGTTTCTTTAAGTCAGATATCATACACTTATGTTTGTGAAAATCTCAACACCGTCTGAGAATTATGCAAATTTAACCAAACTTACATGAAATGTAAATTGAGATAAGACATCCGAATGATTAGAATTACAAAGCGATTGCGCATGTACTACAATTGCACATATTTATTTGTACAACTATCAGTAATATGTGAAATAAATTTTCAATCCCTTCATAGTGTTGCAATTTTTCTAAATATTAGTATATTAATGGGGAGTCTTCAGTAAAGTATAGATTAATACAAAATTCGTTTTAGGGGGGGGGGATTATACCATGAAGAGACGAAACTTGGTAAAGAATCGAGGAAAATTCCATGAAATGAACCGATTCCAGATTCATATCCAGGTTTTATGCAATAGATTTTTCGAAGACGAGAAGAAAAAAAATATTCCATGGAACTTCATTGTTTTCTCGGTTTTAATTGTTTGTAGCATTTTTTGTTTTACAACAAAATTGCTTTCTAAAGCAACTAGTCTCAGACTGACCAGTTGACCAGTGTGCCGTTCCCATTTGAAACAATTTTTTGGAAAATTGGGCTGAAGTAAATGTTATACAACAACATGAAATTATAAAATATGCTTATTAGTTTTCGAGGCAATTGTACTAAATTTTTTTATAATAATGGACTATAGAACAATGTATTTATACAATTGCTTAGGCTGACCTAGCATGGACATGCGTTTCTAGAACTACCGGGCCGCTTTTCGTTCAGATCCCAAAACTAAAGACAACAGCGGTTTTAAAAAGTATACCTTAGATATAATTAGTTACATTCTGTTGTAACCTTGTGTTTCCTGTTACATTCAAATGAGATTATCAATGCTTTCTACTTTGTAATGAAGCTTATTAATTTCTGGTGTTAATTATAAAGCAAATTTATTTTCCCTAATATAGATATACGCATTGTCAATTAGTGCTTTAAAAAAATAATAATAAATTCCCTCTTTCTGTTGCTTATTTTAATCAAATAAATGCATTATAACTCCTTAAAAAAATACAGATTCAATCCTGTTTTCTTAAAAATTTAAAAATCAAACAACAGAGAAATAATGTATTCTTGCATTAAGATTAACCCTAACAAAAATCCGAACATTAAATACGAATTTTAACTAAACTCCTGTTCATAAACAGCGAAAAACTAACAAGAAAGGCATTTATTACAATGTCAGTTCTATTAACGAACACCCGAGCAACTCAAGAAAGTTTTCGGCCTTTTCCTAATTGCACATATTAATGCCGCAGCATTTCCTATCACGGTAGAGATTCCAGTTAGAAGATAATTCTCTTTTTTTTTTCTGCACAACACCCACAGCCCCTGTTGTCCTTTTGTTCTAGTGCAGCTTTACACTAGGGAAGGAGATCCGCGTTAGGGTATCATACATATCATACGCTTCATCAGTCCTCTTTCCTAATGCGACCGAATCCCTTTTTGGCGAACGCGAAAAACAGAAGGCTGCATTCAAAGTCACTAATTATCTGCATTACTTAGCGCGGAGCCCCATACACCGCGGCATGTCGCATATGCGCGAAAGGGGAAATGCATTTTGATTACGGGAAAGCAGATAATGTTTCCACACTTTTCCACCGAACTAATGAATATTTCAAACTTTAATCAAACTCGGCTTCTCTCTCTTTCTGTTTTGGAAGAAAAAAAATTGAGAAATGTTTTCTTTGTTTTTGAAACATCCCGTTGTAATTATACTCCCCTCCGCACCATTCCTCTCTGTGGAACATATTTAGCGCCAGTTTGGAAGGCGACTAAAAATAAAATAATAATAACGAACTTTTTTTTTTCTTTCCTCTTTAAATAAAAAATAAAATAATGAAAATATATATCTATACTTATTAGGTGAGGCAGGGGTATGGAGTTCCCCTGTAAGACCGTTCGTTACTGTTTCGCCAGTCGATTTCAGAAGCAAAGATGACAGCCTCACCTATCCAAATTTTCATTATCAGGATCCTAATTTAAATGCTTCCTTTTGCTCCCTTTTTTTTTTTTGTTTCTTAACCTCTTTCCCGATTTTTCCTCCTTAGTAAATGAAAGCTTAAGAAAAAGGGTGGGAAAAAATTAAAAAGAATAAACCAGAAAAAAACGGGAGAATTAGCGGAAGGTGCAGAGAGAAAAACTTTTGGCGATGGAAAAAGATTGAAGAAAAAAAATAGAAGGGGAAAAAAAAATGGCGAAATATATTAAAAGGATTCGGTCGGGACGAAAAAATGAAATAGAAACGCTGTGGGTGAAATGAATGAATGAAAAAAGTTGATCATATTAAGTAAGTTCTTGCAACAAAAGGCTTTCTTAAGCAAGGGAACCGTAATGGAAAAGCTGTGTCGGAATTAGCCAGTCCCCCTATCAATTACAATAATATCCTGCCATAATCGCGTTATCTGACGCTGCGAAAAGGAAAACTCTCGTATTATCTGTAACTCTCTTGTACTGATGAGAGCGGTAATTTATGAAAGACGATAAACGTCATCCAAGCATTAATCATTGACAAAACCACTGACTTTTTTTTTTGCTTGGTTATTACTACTTTGATTATATTTTCGTGGCTGAAGAAAGGCTATAATTATTATTCAGTTTGACTTTTTTAGAATCGTTGTGGGAGGGTGGGTGAATGTGTTGACAGCAAAAACCATTTTTCCTGTTTAACGCTACCGCTAACTAAGACATTTTGGGAAGTAAAAAATTAATGTATTACTTTGCTATCTACCGTCAAGTATAGGATAAAAAATGTATATAAAAAAAGTTAATGTTTTTGCCCCTTAATGTAGATTAATATGTTTCTTATCAAATAAATCTTGGTAGTTTTTTTTTATTTGATGAAATAAATCAACAGCGTCGTTTTTAATATTGATTAATGCTCTTAATTATTTTATAAACTGTATTTATTTCTTAAATTGCATTGTTATTTTCAACTTACATTTGACTCTGGTCCAGCAACCTATAACCTAAGCAATGGGCAGTAGCATAGCTAGACTCGCAGGAACCTTGAGACAAACACACTAAGTACGATCCCCCTTAATCCCTGAAGATCTGATAGTTTTAATATATAAAGAAATGTCTTTTTAACTAGAAAGAATTTAAAAATAGACATTTCGTTTGTTGATATTTTTTAATTAAGCTTTTATTGCTCTGCCTTAAAAAATTGATTAAAAAATAAAAATCTTTCTTATCAAATTTTTAAAAGTGTCCTAATACAAATTAAAATAAATTTTTTAAAAAATTGTTTTACTTTTTTTTTGGGGGGGGGAGAGAGATTCCTTATACTGTGTGACCCATTACTCCAATGGTAGCTACACCCCTAACTGTCCATCACCTGATGAGATGAATCACATTAAACACCATTAATAGGTCCGTAAAAGTATTCAATAAGTTCCTTTTTTTAACAGATGAAACAAGTTCAATTCAATGCAATAATGTGCTGGTTCAATTCAATGCAATAATATGCAAGTTCAGTATAATATAAATACCTTTTTTTAAAGTTGATTTAGCAAATTCATTATCATTTTAAAATACATTTAAATAGTAGTGCTGATATTTTTTTCCGTTACATAATCTCCATTTAGTTTTTATCTCAAATGTAGTAGCGTTTAGTTATTTGTCCTGAGTACATGCAGAAATAAAAATTCATACATTTGGTATCATTAACATATTGATAAATTTTTTAAAAAAGAAAAATGGCCCGTAATTAATCCGAGAAATAGTATTATACCTGTTTATTAAACAAAGCATTTATATTACTTTACTGTTGTTTTTTTTTCTATTGAATCTACTTTTTTGCGAGATGCAAATACTTGTATAACTTGTAGAAAAAACGAAAATAATTTTGCTTTTTATGTTTTTATAAATAATTATATCTTTCGAAATTTTAAATTAATTATTTTATTTACAAATTATACTCTTTTTAATGATAACTGTTCACTTTCTGTACATAATTTTGTAAATATTGCTTGCAATAAAATTAAAGGATTACATTTCTAAAAACATTTCTTGAAACTATATGACTACTATGTGATATAGTTTTTAATATAAACATGAATTTGTAATTCTTTCCCTTAGCTTAGTGTTCTGTATGTTACACCTTTTTCGAATTAATGATTAAGAAAAAAATTTTCCTTTACTAGAATTTGAAAGAGTATGATGGCAACATGGCATTTTACGATGATCGAAAATTTCTCATGTCACACATCCACCATTCTTTCATCACATGTGATGACACTGGCATGTGCGAGATGGCCATGCTCAACGAGATAGTCTTTGACAAAGCATTGCGGTCCATTGAAGATGATAAGCCTGAACTGAAAGTCCTGAACTTCTACCCAGAGTCTGATCTCTTGGAACCATCACAGTCATACGATATTGTTTCTGGAATGGGATTTATCGGAGGACATAGGCATAGATCAAACACTGCCCAGAGATTGGAAAAAATGAAAAAAGATCGCCAAATACAAGCCAAAATTACTCATGTTCAGTGGAAAAATCCTCCTACTCAACTAACTGGTATTGTATTCAATTTGTAAATGTTTTTATTATTATTATTATTATTGAAAGTTATTTAAGCAAATGCCTTGTATTAAGCACAGTTAAAAACCAATTCCACAATTAAAATTCTTCAAGTCGACTAATTGTAAGAAATTTTTTTACCCAAATTTAAGCAAACTACTGCGCCGGGATAGCCTGGTCGGTAGGGCGCTGAGACCGTGTCCGAGAGTTCGTGGGTTCGAACCCCGCCGGCCGAAGACATATGACTATATATGACAGTATAGTAAAGTGACTGATATAACATATGACAGTATAGTAAAGTGATTGATGCACGTTAAATCTGTCGAGTCGCAAAAGTCCTCCATGTTCCCATAACAAATCATACCTCTGGGGGTAATGGATTGGAGATCGATCATTCTCTGATTCAGGTCAAAATTACTATCGGTGGATGTATGAATGGGTCCGCCCTATAAACGGGTGCGACGTATGGTGCGGCAGCAAATTCTTGGCCATAGATGGCGCCACTGGAAAACAAGAACAATCGCACCCCCTCTGCCTAAACAGGCATACGTCAACAACAAGCAAACTATTAACCTATATTGGTTTATGTATTTTTCTTTAATCTACTCTAATAACTTGGTAGACAACATCTTGCCTTGGGGCATCTTTCACCCCTGTGGACAGGATGGAGGAGAATTTGAAATATTAAGTTTGAGCCTCTATTGTTTTTTTTTTTTTTTTTTTTTTTTTTTTTTTTTTTTTTTTTNTTCCCCCCCCCCCCCAAAAAAGGAACCCTATTTGACACATAGGTTTATGCATTTTGCTTCACAGATGGTAACCAAGAAAATTAAAATAGGGTACAAACTGTTTTAAATGGCGAATCTCGAGACTCGCCAGATTATGAACTTTAAAATAGACATGTTTCAAAAATTTTCTTTTAAAAAAAATACTGAAGCATTTTTATTTTATATTTATTTATTTATTTTCAATCTGAGGGGTCTTTAGATACCATCTTTTTGTTTGTACACTATTTTTTCTCTGTTACAGCACCATCTGTGAAAGAAAATGCATAAACCTATTTGTCAAAAAAGGTTACTTTTTTATGGAGAATCTGAAACTTCAATAAAAAGAAATTTAGATGGGAAATTGGAATAAAATACTTGAGGCTTCAAAATTGCTCCCTGCTCTGCACCCTGATGTTGGGATGGAAGATCGAGTTTGGTGTCTGTCATGCCTCCATGTTGTGATGGCGCGGTGATCAAGTGTAGATGTAGTGAATAAAGATATGTAAAAGTTAGCACGAAGTGTCTGTGAAGTAAAGACGTTCTTTTGTAGGAGTCTGGGACTCTGAGAAATTATTGTTTGGACAGTGCGATATTACAGTGTCATTGGATCGCTAAAAAAATATGGAATTCATCTTTTTCACTTTTTTGATATCTAGCGTATATTTCTCAAGATAGTTGACCATTTCCAAACTTTTTTTACACCCTGTATACTAAAAACCTAAAGACCTTCAGTGATGTTCGAAAGTGTTGGTGACATTTTTAACGAAATCTACTGTTCAAAATGTCTCCTTTTTTTTACAACTGACCAAATATCTTACACAATCCTTGAGGGTGCAGTGGCCCCTGATTAATTTATGAGTCAATTTCTTTGTGTATTATTAAAACAGTATTGTCTTTTCATGAATAAAACTAATTTTGTTTTTAGATAAAGAGCTATCTGAACTGTTCCCTGAAAAAGATTTGTCTGAGGTAAAGAAAAACAAACCGCCAGTTAAGTCTGCCCTGAGTGAAGCGTTGGAACTTTATCCTGCAGCTCCAAATAATCCATTTGGTGAATATGCAAGATTTGATGGGAGGGTAATATTTTTTGCTCTTTTCCTCTGCTGTTGTTAATAGTGAACTTTAATTTTCAAAAAAATGACAGTAATATCATATAATTTTAATTATATACCTGTTGAATACCTGTTTTTCATACAGAGTTAAACTAAAAATAAATAATTGGCTTTAATTAACTTTACACTGCACAATTATGCATGAAACTAAAAGGCATATGGCACAATTAAAATAACTTAACTTTTTCCAATATTTTTTTTTATTATTATTTCTCGCCCTTTTTAGTGATTTTACGTTATTTATATTAAGCATGGCACATTTTTAAAAGTTTGGCCCATCAAAATAAACATTAACAATATTCAGTATGATTTGGCACTAATAATTATGCTGGGGCTCATTGTCACTTCAAAATTAACAATAAAAAAAATCAGTTTTCTTCATTGATTTTAATAGCAAACTCTAAAACTTTTGAATCGAGTCCATTGAGTTGTGGTGCTTAGGGGATAGAGCATTTGCCTCCCAATGAGGTGGCTGGGTTCAAATCCCAGAGATGAATGGTTAATTCAGATTCTGCACCCAGCTTGCACCAACAGCAGTTCTAACGTAAAGATATCCTCAATGGTAAACGGATCATAAGTTAGAGCCCCCTCGTTGTCAGTCTCATTGTGGGAAGTTTTGGTGGTCTTCCTCTTCCTGTAACGCAAATGCAGGTTAGTTCAATCAAAAAGCCCTCCACGAAGGCAAATTTTTCCCGATACTTGATCCAGGAGTTCCTTTGTCTTCTGGAGTGGGTTCAAAGTTACTAGGATACAGTGTTAAACATTGGTAATCATAGACTCAAAATTGGTTTGGCTGTTCTACAATGCTTATAAAATAAAATATTGTTTACTATTAATGTCTTTAGAGACATTATTAATAGTTTATTATTAGTGTGGTATAAAAAGTACTTACAGAAAACCTAGGTGATTCACTGGCATGAACAGTGATTTGATGGTATTAGAAATATATTTTAAGAGTGAAAATTATGACTTATAAGGAGTTAAAATAATAATTTAAGGAAAAAAGCCTTTCTCAATCTTAAATGGCAATATATTTACTAGTTGAGTTTAATTCCTGTCAACGACTCAGCAGCTTTGGTAGTGAATGGTAATAACATTACTGAATGAAAAGAAGTTATTTTGCAATATATTACACATACTATACTTGGCAAATAATCTGGTTTTTAATATATTTCTGTAAATTATACTTATTATATTTATATAGATATTTGTAAGTTAATTCAGAATATTCTAATGATTAAAAGCGCATTTCATTAAAAGTTACAAATTCTTTTTTACCACTATTCTTATCAAACAAATTTTTTTGTAATATCTTTCTCTTTTTTTTAACAAAATTATCTTTGTATGTATAATAACTGTATTAATATATAAATGATATATAACTGTGTAAAAATGCAGGCATGAGATTCTTCCAATTTTGGCAGTACTTCCCGCTTTGTAAGCTGTAGAAGAAAAAGTTTCTAAATTTTATTGTTGTTTTATTCTTTTAAATCGTGATTTATATATAAAGCTTAACAGTTTGTTGAACTGTCAAATGTACACATATAGTAAGAAAAATAATAGTGAACTTTAAAAATGTATGATAATATTATAAATGTTTTTTCTTTGGGCAAAGCAGCTTTTTACACACTTTTTCTTATCATATCTCCTCATGATTTCAGTTAATAGGTACTTAGTATTTTTCCCCTCTTGTGCTCGGAAATGAAAATAAAAATATTTTTTTAATAAATCAAGAGTTGATATATATCATTTTGGAAAGAATTGTGGGAAAATAAAAAGAAGCTGCCGGAATCTTCTTCCGTCAGTACTATTTATTTATTTATTGGGAACAAATTAGTTTGTAAGCTTTAAAAATTTCTTCTATGGTATGTGTTGCTCTTACAAATGATTTTACAGCATGAAATTATAATTAGATTCATTTTTAGCTCAATCGATCAGCTGCCTCTAAAAAGATCTTAATCTATCTCACAATGTTACCTGCTGCTGAGAGGAACTATGGCACGGAAGTCATCTGCCTATCAAATGCTCGTGTTCATGAGCTGATTGGTCTCATATGTTGGATGTACACAAATGAAGGAAAAGAACCACCACTAAAGTATATTTTTAATTCATACATGTTTTTGCTGTAGATTTTGGTTTAAGACTTTCAATCATGACAGATTTAAGTTGCACTTTTCTGCGTATGCATGCCTCTCTCAGTGCCAGATTACCCACTAGGCCATGGCCTGGGGCCCCCTTGAAATGGATTTTTTGAAAATAATTTTTAAGAAATTAAGAAAAACAATGATTTTTTTACATAATGTCATTCTGAATTTCACGAAACTTTATTTCAAGACCCACTTGGATCTGTTTTTCCAAATGTTGAAACTGTTCTTTGCATTTTTTTAACTCTTATGATAACAAATTGTTCTACGGAGCGCTCGTTTTCAAAAATGAAGGGGATCAAGAGTGAGCAAAGAAGCTTCATGTTTCAATAAACGATTAGATATGCTAAGATTGATGTTTATCGAATCAGATGTTCTCCGTGAAATTAATTTTGATAACATTATAGATGAGTTTATTGAACGCAAGAACAGAAAAAAAAGATTTTTGAATACAGTCAAATTTTTTCAAAATTTTTCAAATTTTTTCAAAATGTTATGATCATTTTTTAGTTCTAATTTAACAAATTAAAGTAAAATTTTATTTTTTATTTTTATTTTAAATATGCTTGCTTAAAGAAAAGATATATAAATATTTGAATAAATAAAAAATATACGAGAAAAAAAATTTTAATCTAAGGGTCCCAAAAATTTGAACGGCCTAGAGCCCCGCATACCCTTAATCAAGCACTGGCCTGTCTTGTCATATGAGACTGGCATTGCTCCAAAAAAAAATAGTTCTTTAACATTGGACATCAAATAGTATGTCAAAAATATTCTTAATCATGATTGTGTTGAATTTAATTTTCAATAATTGTCATTTCTTTTCTCAAGTAGCATGTTAAATAACAAAAAACATGCTGCAGACACTACAGTTTATTTTCAATATGTTAGTCTAGTTATTATTATTTTTTTTTTAATCTTTGCATTTCAAAAAAAAATATTTTAAGTTCGAAAGACATATTTTTGAAACTTTATAATGTACTTTTGTTTAACAAACATGACCAGTTGGTTACATATCTTTCTCAAGTGCATGCTAATGAAAGCATATTCATGTAATCATTATTATCTGTCGAGAAAAAATGACATCAACTACGTTAAATCTGCATCATCACTTTTAAGTATAAAAAAAGCATAAAATATTATTTTCAGAGAAATATTAAACATAAGTAAGCATTGATGGAGTGAACCCAGAAAATTTTTATTAACGAAACAATATTATCTGCATGTTTTACTTGTTACTTTTAAATGATATTACTCTTATGTTTGTTTTCCCATTGCAATTTCAAATTTTATGTTAGGTAAGTTACTTTATTGAGCATAATAATTAAATCTAATTTTTAATGAAAATAAGCATGATTAGGTAAATAAAAAGGAATGAGTTAACTCTTTTTTATAAATTCTTACTTACATTAAGAATTTAATAATATTTAAGCCTTATCAATTCTCATTTTTTTCACCTTTTAGGATTTTTATCTGCACCTCCCTTAGCATTTTAGCGGTCTTGAAAATTTTATGGGTGATTTGTTGGTATTTTACAATATTTCTGCTAATATTATCTGCATGCTGTGTTAAGAATATAAGGGTAATGTAATTTCCGAACAGAAATTTTGTCTGCTTGTTTTGAGCTCCTAATTGTAACTTTATTATTCTCAAAAGAGTTTTAGAGAGATTGGGAATTTTAAATTGGCGTTTTTTTTATTAATATTTAATTTCCACAAATAAATTGATAATATTTATTTTCTTTACTTGTCAGAATCTTTCAAAACATGTAAAATGCAAGGTCATTGCTTAATTAGAATCAGAGAAAGAGCCCGATATTTTAGAATTTCAACGCATTTTTTTACAGTTATACTAATTCAACTATACAATAAGTATTTTTAAAGTTGAAACTTCTTTGTGAAAATAATCTTGAAGTTCTAAAAGTTATCAAGTGCTATTTCCTCCAATCCTAAAGCAGAACCAATTTAATTTTGTACTTGAATTTGTCTTCTTTTTTTTTCTTTGTTGAAAAATATTACGTTTTATGCTGATACTTCATATAAGAGCTAATAAGAGTTTTAAAAAAGCTAAAAGTATCAAGAAGACGAAAATTAACTAAATAATGTTATTCGGCTATATTTTTATCTTCTTTTTTAAGCATGTCTGTCAAAGAACAATTTGTTACTATACAGGAAGCTCCGAAGTTCGACCAACAAATTCCGAAAAAGTTTAAAAAAATAAAAACTTTCCATAGAACATGATGTTGCAAGCCACCATAAGAGGGTGAAAATTATACAAAATCCATGCAAGTTTCAACGTCGCTAAAAAAAAACAACTTCAAAAGATACTAAAAACTTGCGAACTGCAAAAAGATTTATTTGAGTTTGTCTAAGATGCTCCTCATCAAGAGTTCGTCTAACTGGCACCCTCTGAAGTCAATGCACAGTCTACAGCATCATTATAATTTCTGCATGCACTGAAAGAGGCCAGGTGATGTCTACCAAAGCAAAGACAATCCACACTATGAGATCCTCTGATGTGTCTACAAGCATTGTGTAAACTAGCATTTTAAGGCAATGTTGTTGGTAAAAGTCATTGAAATTGAGATCTGGCGGACATGAGTTCACAATCTCCACCTTTCCTCTCCTTTCGATTCAGAACCTGATTGGGTTTCTCATGATTTATAACCTCGCATGTTCTATCAGAAATTTTCATCATCTTAATGCTTTCTTATACCCCTCTGAATTTGTCAGTCGAATTTCGGAACACTCTCTATGTTTTAATCAACCTATTAGCTTAAAACCTGACTACACTAAAAAAATGAAAGGTGAAAAAAACCTATCTTTGTTTTTGCATTGTACAACTTGCAAAAAAAGATCAACTTTTTATTCAAGAATGCAACTAATATTCTATCACAAAATTAGTTCAATATCCTTAATTAAAGAATTTAAAATTTACATTTTTTGTTACGTGACTTCTTGATAATAAATCTGTGCATGCTTTTTTTAATTAATATCAAATAGCAGTGATAATTTTATTCAATAACAATCCTTTTAAAGTAGCCTTTGAATTCCATTTTTAATTGTAATTGAAAGTTAGAGCTATATTTTAATGAGTAGTAATTTAATAATTTTCCAAGAATATAGTTTCTTATAAACTCACAAAATTCGTCAAACATTCTGCAGATCTGGAAGCACTTGAAAAAATGTGTTACATTTAGCTGATTATCTATGAATTGTGCTCTACAGAACATATTTGTTTTTGTGTCATTTATAAAATGCGCATTTTCTCAAATGACATTAAAGAAACCTATTTGTCATTTATGAAATATTAACTATATAAACCTATTTGTCCTAAAAACTAATCTATTTGTCATTTATGAAGTATGCATTTTTATAGATCCTCTGTTTCTTCCTACTGTCTGAAAATTGCTGAAGAAACTGGAGAAGTTGATGAAGATTTTCCTAGTCTTGATAACAATGAATATGTGGGCAAATTCGGCTTCCCATATTTAGCTTTAATTGAACATGAAAGCAGGGATCCACCTCCTCAAGTTATTATGTATGTACTACTACAACTAGTTTCATTATTTCATGTAATATGACCAGTTTTATGTGCTCCGTAATATTGATAATATGAAGTCAATCCTTTTAAAAAAAACAGGCAAAAATAGTACATTATGTGAACTACATTAATTTATTCACTTAAGTAATATAGATTAAAATTTTATCGAATAAAGAGTCGTCTCTTTATTGTTTGAGCAAATATGCTTTAAATATAACTGGAGTACACTACTGAGGTTTAAGAGAACGTTATGAAATTTGTGCATTGATGCATTCTGCCTATACATACTATGTTACTACTTCATTTTCTTTTTTCTAAAAAAGTTTCTAAATATATTTATTGACTATTTTTACAAAATTCAATTTTTTAAAAATTAATTTTTGCTCATATTCTTTATTCAAAGTTTTGTACTTATTATTTTTTTTAAAGAAATATATTTTCTATTTCTGGTTCTGTAAAATAACATAATATTTAGTATAACTTTTGTTAAATAAAAATAAACACCACTTTAAGCTTTTTTTAGTCTATTATATTTATCATTTTATGTATAATGACTTAAAAAAAATTATCAGTTAAGTGATTGAGAAGAAGTTTTAGAAGTCATTGTTTATGAAATCACAAAAATAGTATAACTATTTTAAAATTTATATCTCCACTTTTCATATCAAAGTGATACAAAAATTGAGTGTTTCTCCTGAAATTCTCAATTCTTTTAATAAGATTTCTAGATGTGTTCAATGTGTCAAAACCAAGCCTGTTAACTTTATTGTCTTTCAGTTTTTTTTTCCAAGAATCAGCATCTAAATATCAAAAACTCTTATTAATCCCAAATTCCAAGTCATCTTACCTCCATCCAACAAAATTATATTTAAGAACTTAAAAGACCTATCAACATATGAGAAAAAGCAGCCTTCTTTAGAAAGCAGTTAAAAACAATAAACAGCGTTAAAAAAGAGAACCTTTTTAACTTAACAAATTCTTTATTCTATTAATAGACAAATAATATAATATTACTTTTTAATCATAAATTAGGCACATTGATGTAACTCTTATAAAATTATCTTTTATAACTTATAGTACTTAGGTGCAATTTAAATACCAAAAATAGTACATTTTTATTTGACTCTATATGCAAAAAAAGAGAAAAATAAATTAATGTATACCAATTTATTTAAAATAAAGTGGGACAATAATTTTTTTTTAAAACACTGCTTTTAGTATGTTTATATTTTTTTGCTCAAAATCTACATCATCTCTGAATGTGAATTTTTAAATTCATTGGTATCATGTTTTTTATTTATTTAGTTTTAATAATAAATTAAAACTATCATATTTTTGGCTGGGGTTATATGAAGTTATAAGAATAATAATAAAAAGAATATGTGTATATCTAATAAAAAACAACAGAGTGATATGAATAATATTTAATGTCAAATGATGTTTTCCTTCTAAAAAATTCAGTTTTGTGCACAATGACTTTTGAAATTCGGTAACTCATTTGTACTTGGTCACTTCTGAAAACTAAAATTGCATTTTTATTACTTTAAAATAAAGCTAATGTTACTTGTAATTCATTAACTCATTAAGAACTCATTATTGTATTAACTCATTAAAAAAATTATTACCTTCTAGCTTTGAACTGAGTCAGCAAATTATGGGATATATTTGAATCCCATACACTAACTCCCAATAAAAAAATCAATAAAAACCTGATCTTGCTATGCGAAAAAGAAATGAGTACAGCTCAAAATGTGCTTTTCTTTGTTTAAATATTACATACTACCCACTGTTGCTTAGATGAAAGTGCATGTAACAATAATTCCAAAGACTATTGAACTGTATTTACATTCAGTTACAACATTTAGTAGTATAATTTTATAGTGTAAATTTTTTTAAATCTCTATTGTGATCAAACAATAACTATTATGTTCTAACCTAATTTTTATCATTGTAGCTGTTTGCTCTTTGTTCTAACATTAGTGATCAATTTGTGCATTCCATACTATCATTTCATTTCAGTATGAAATTTACTAAAATAGTCAAATGACAAAGATTGGACAGTGCAATGATATTTTTTATGTTTGCTTTTGATCCAAAAACCATTTACTGTAAAATGCATTTAAGGTTAGCATTTCATTTCAATATAAAAAAATTCTTTAGATTTTTCTCTATTCAAAATTCAGTAAAAAAGAAATATATACAGTATCAATATTTTATTTCAGTATGTTAATTTTTTTAAAAAATTGCCAAGTGATAAAGAAGGAAGAGTTCAGTGATATATTTTGATGTATCAAAAAGACTTTTTAAAAGTATAATTAAGTAATTTATTATGCTGTCCCTCTAACTTTTTATGTTTTAATACAAATGTATTGTTGCAGGTATATAGAGGGTGAAACTTTTAAATTTGATGTTCCAAAAACTGATATAACTTTGCGAGACATCGCTGAGCTGGCAAGTCGCAGATTATCAGTCAGAAGATCATCTGGTAAATTTGCATTTCCGTCATTATTAAATGTACTCATAGTAAATTTTGATGTAATGCATTTATGTTTGCATTATGCATTTATTTGTTTTCAAAGTTTAAATATACTTCTATTATGCAATATGTATATTTATACCAGGTTTATACCTAAGAAATATCGAATTTTTTTAAAGCAATTTTGTTATTCTTTTTTTTTAATAAATGTTTATTAATTGTATAAAAATTATATTATTCTAAAACTTTTTATGTGCTCCCTCTAATTGTGAAAGTTTTATGCATTATTTTTTTCAAACGTTGATTTTTAAACATGAATTCTCGCAAATTACGTGTTATTTTTATTTATGAATTTAAAAGTGGTCATAGTGTTTCAGTAGCTGCTTGAAACATTAATGCTGCGTTTGGTAAAGTTACTATTAATGAATGGATAATTCAAAGTTGGTTTAAAAAAATGTGATGATGGTGATGAAAGTCTTGAAATTGAAGCACATGGAAGAACAGAATTTAAGCTTGATGTGCATTACATTGAGAGTGCTTAAGGAATCTAATCCTTCCTGGGATAGTTGAGTGCCTTGTGGAAAATGCCAAGCAAGCATATTTGAAAACTTTGAACTTACAAAAAAATTTATTTAGCAAAAAGTAATTTAAATTAATCATCTCATAACTTTCTGGAAAATATAATCGAGATTATTCTATTCTCATCAATATAACTACAGCTATAGTCGTTCTATACTTTTTCCCCATATAAATCCAATCTAGATTTGTCCTATGTAAACAAGCATGCATCTAATTCCTAATCAGAAACACTTGCAGAAAGAGGGTAAAACAACGGTACTTGCAATTGATATGTAATTTATTTTTAAGTGTCCAAAATAAACTTTAAAAATAGGGAAATAAGCAGTCTAGAAAAGAAAAATCGCATCTTTTTCCAGAGCATGAAAACTTAAACTCTCCCTTCAGAATCATTTTCGTATTTCTCCCTTTTCCAGTGGTCTTTAGAACTTCGGATTTCTGACTCGCCGTTCTTCTTATTTGAACAGTCTTCCTTCAAATTCATAGTGTGACATTGCGAAATAAATTATCTTGATTTTATCTAATTCAGTCTTTGTTAAAGTTTTAGTCAAAAAATAATGCCAAATAACTTTTATTTTTAATAAACTTGATTTCAAATTTTCCCTCATTAAGACAATTTCTTACAACAAACTTCTTACAAAATCAAATTTCTTACAAATTACAATACTTTCTTACAAAACAAATCTCTTACAAAAACAAATTTCTTACAAATTACAATACTTTCTTACAAAATTGAAATCTTAGATCAATATGCTTAGTATTTAAATTTTCAACATTATTTTTACAATAATAAATTGCAGATTGATTATCATATTACAAAACAAGTTTTTCCTTTTTTTGATATTATGTTTAACTCATTACATATGTTTGTAAGCCATAAAAGTTCTTTTACTGTTTCAGTTAATGCAGTAAACTCTGATTCCATGCTTCCTAATGCATTACATTTTTGTTTGCTACATTTCCGACTAAATGGAATATTCGCTAAGCATATTCAATAACCTGATGTAGAAAATCTGTTTGTTAAATGACAACCCCAATTAGCACCTGAATAAATTATCAAAGAAAAATGATTAAGATTTGATAATTCTTAATAATGTTCTTTAGTATTCTTTCTTCATTCACTCTGCTCCATTTTTATCCACTTCAATATATAACTGCCAGCAAGATTTTAATTCTTAAACTATACTCCTGATGCCTGTTCTGAACAACAAATGAGCAGGAAGTCCCTATTGAATTGACCCCCTATTGTATTCTTGTCTTAACTAAAAAATTTAATTCTAGCTGGTGAAAAATTTTTTTAGAAAGAAACAGATTTTTTCCATTTCAATATCTCTTTTTTATGCAACTAAGCAAGGACTGGAAACAACAAATATCAATTTAAACAAGGAAATTTAATGTAAGTTTCATATAAGTGAGTTATCCAATATTTAATTAAGTGGGGAGGACTGTACTTTGAAATATTTAACTGATGGCTTATAATCATAGAAAATCTCAAACAGTGTTTCACCTTCCAGTAGTTGTGTTCACTGCAATTCGTTAAGTGAACAAAACAATGTAGTGCTTCTGCCCGAAATCTACTTTTTCAACCACTATCGATTAACACTGAGTGAATTCCCTCTGCAGCTACTCTGTTATAAGATTTAGCTGCATCATTTTGTTCTGGAGTGTATACTGAAGTCCTCTCTATACATATACCTATTTCACTAAAAAAAAAAATTTAATTTAAATTGCAAAATTCCATACCATTATCACATCTTGCAAATAAAAGTATAACATTTAACTATTTTGACAAATACTGTTTAAAGAAATTAAATACTTCTCTTTTGTGTTTTATGGAAAAAATTTCAACATAGCAAAAGAAATAATCTATTACTGATAGGGAATATTCATCTCCCAACTGAACTTACAGAACTTTTACCCCAAACATCCATGTGTACTTTCTCTAAGTCAGTGTTAATCATTATACCATGTTCTACAGTTCTAGAATGAATCAAATTTACAATCTAATTATCTAAACCTTTTACAACATTGTTTGGCTCATGCAATTTAACATTGCAATCTTCACAAAAATCTTCTATGAACTAATTCCTTATTTAGACTTATACAAAATGCTAATTCTTTGGTTTCGACAACTTTTTCAGCATAACCTTTAAATATATACAATTTATCAATTCTATTTACAGTAAATAAATAGTTACCATTTTTACCAAATACTATCATTTAGTTGTTGCCCCATTTTTACAGTAATTCCCACTAAATCCATGTTAGATCCGCTAATTAAATTTTTACGCATATTAGGAACAAAATATACATTACTAGTACCAAAAATATTTGACTTGCTGTCTTTATCTTTTTCAAGAGCTTGACTAGGGTTCAAAGTCTTGAATGTAGTAAACCAATCTCTTTGGGTGCAAAAGTGAGCTATGCTGTCTATACCAATCAGGAATTCATCATGCTAATTGTGGTCTTTCTTATGGTGAATTTCAGAATCTTTTCTTACCATAGGCACATCACTGCAAAAAGTTTCCTTGGAATTTCGAATTTTGGAATTCTGTTTCATATTGTTCTTAAGAAAGCATCTTCCCACTGTATGTCCTTTTTTATAACAGTAGGAACATATTGTTGCCCAGGATACGACAACTGTAGATATTTCCATGCAACTTATGATATACTTGCTTTTTAGTAGATTAAGTAGTATAACATCGGCAACTGTGTCCTCTCCCGTGTCTATGCTTTTGTTGTATTCTTTGAGATTCACTTAGGAGTTCTTTCTGGGCGTTTGGAATTGTAAAATATTTATTCTCTTATCTATAAAGTATTTGAACTAAGTTATCATAATCTGCCTGCAATCTTCTAAGTGGAAATAAGTTAGCTTTTCAGGCATTTCAAAACCTGCTTCATTAATTTTTGTTTCTTTTTCTCATCAACTAATTTGCAAAATATTCCAATAGTCTCCTTATCAGGCTCAAATTTTAATTCAAAGAATTCCTCAATGAGTCCAGCTATCTGTGCACGTGAGATACGTTTGAAATTTTATTTCAGAATATCCGCACTGTCTTTCCGTTCTCTGTGTTGGCTGTCAGCAGTTGGCATTGCTATTCAATTCCTTGAAAAATAGTAGAATGACTTAGAGCTTTTTGCATTTCATAAGAGCATATGTCTTTGTGTGTTGCATCAGTTGGTAATGGCTTTTCATACCACTAACAAATTCCCAAGAGCCTCTGTTGATGAGTAACACCTTCATATTTGTTTTCTAGCTGCTGAAGTTGAAACTATTTAGTTTTAGAAATCTCAATATGGAACTGCTGTTCTTTTCGGTCATCTTCAATCTATTTAAAAGACCCGAGCAGTGTTACAGTAAACTTACTTCTAATAAAGATGAATTAATTTATGAAAACTTGGTTTGGCAAGGCAAGCCTGGACCGAAATCTTATAGAAATAGTTGAGTGCGTAATAGAAAAGGCCAAGCAAGCATAACTGAAGACATCTTTGAACTTACAAAAAACTTTTATTAAGCAAGAAATAAAATAAATTGAGCATCGCATAACTTTCTGAAAAACATAATAAGCAAGATTGTTCTACTATCCACAACATAACACAGCTATTCTCGTTGTATACTCTCTCAATACAAATCCAATCTAGATCTTTTTTATGTAAACATACATTTATTGTTCAATCAGAAACATTTGCATAATGAAAGTAAAAACATGTAACAACTACACTGATACATAATTTACTTTTAAATGCCTGAAATAAACTTAAAAATAAAGAAATAGACAGGCCAGAAAAGAAAAAACGCAACTTTTCCAGAGCATAAAAGCCCTTCTGCATCATTTTTGTCTTTCTCCCTCTACCATTGATGTTTAAAACCTGTGATTTCTGACTCGCCATTCTTCTTACTCAAACTTTGTTCCTTCAAATTCATTGTCTGGCAGTAAAACAACGGTATCTCTCAACCATTGTTAAAGTCAAAAAAATTTTATAAATTGGTTCTGCTAAAATGAACAAAAAGCAAAAAAAAAAAAAAAGAAAGAAAGAAAGAAGCCTAGTTTTGAAATCTTTAATTCTTTGCTTCTTAGGAATAAAAGAGAACAATTTTTTGAACAGAATTATCACCTATGAGGAAAAGCAAAAAAAAAAAAAAAACCTAGTTGAACAAAATTATCACCTATGATGAAAAATTGATCCTTTATGACAATAGGCGTTGTTCAGCGCAATGGTTAGATGCACATGAGAATCCAAAAAGAACACCAAAAGTACCGCTACACTCTACAAAGGTAATGATTACTGTTTGGCGCTCTAAAGTTGGAATTATTCATTATAAATTTTAAAATGCTGGGGAAACAATAACATCAGAAAAGTCGTACATAAATTGAAGTTATGCATTAAAAATTTGGTCAAATGCAGCCGTCAATGGTCAACCGAAAAAGACCCATTATGCTTCATGATAAAAGAGGACAACTTGTTTCATTAATTGTTGCAAACAAGTTGGCCGAATTAAAATACAAGGTTCACCTCATCCAACTGATTATCACTTTTTTAAACATTTGGACAATTTTCTTCATAATAAAAAGTTCCCCAATCTAGAGCAGATCAAATATGACTTTCAATCTTTCATTAACATCAGAGAGGCAAATTTTTATGTAAGTGGTATCGACAATCTAGTAACATGTTAGTAAAAATGTGTTGATTGTGATGGTTTTTACTTTTATTATTAAAATATTTTTTAACAAAAGTTATGCTTATTTAAATTTACAATAAAAAATTCAACATTTCATTTGTAACAACCTAATATATTCAACATTGCAAGTATTTTATTATCTCTTAAGGGACACAAAAACTTTATATTCTAAAAAATGTGTCTTTTTCTTAAACTCATTAATAATTTATTTATTACATTCTAATTTATGAACATAAACATGCCTATTTTTGTCCACTTTACATTTCTATAAAAAAATATTAAAAATTTGATGATATGCATTTGATTAATTAATACATAATTAAAAATACTTGTAAAATGTTTTTTTTCAATATTTTTTTATTTTTGAAATGTCAACAAAATAAAATAGTTCCTTGAAGTTTTTAAAAGAATATCATGATTGCAATTTTATTTTTCTTATTTATTAAACTGTTGCTTACTTTCAGATTTGTTGCATGCTTTCAGATTTTTAAATTTATTATCTGTCACTTGTGAGGGTTCATGTGAACTGTTCACATATATTTTATTCAATCTGTGTCTTTTCCAGAGTCAATTTATATTTATAGTAAGGGACAATAGTGACAAGGTAATTAAGTGTCATCATGTTTCTGATGAAATGTGAAATTAGAAAAAGGCTAAAAGAAAATGAAATGATATTTCTAATAACCATAACATTTAGCGACAGAAATATGTATGAAGTGTATTCAACATGCTTTGTATGTAAGGCAGATATTTTAATATTTATGATATGATAAATTTAATGCTTGTAAAAACTTTATTTTTTTGATAAAAAATGTTGTAAAAAAAATAAATGAAGGAGAAGAATTGATGATGTTACACCTTTTGGAAAATAGTCTAAATACATGTATACAAAACATATAAACATAATACAGCAAATAAAAAAAAGTAAAAAAAAAGGTTAAAAAATTGTTTATTACTAATTACAACTTTTATTTATTTAAACTAAATTACTTTTGTTCTTTTAAACTATTTTTTTATTAATTTCTCTGAGAGTTTTTCTCTGTTTCTATTTGTTTGTCATTTTACAGGTTCTATTTACTTTGCAGCTTTGTGCACAGTTTATGAAATTTCTTTTAAATTTTCAACTTTGTTTCTTTTATTTTCATAGAATATTTATATACTGTGACATATTTGAAAATGTATTGAGCTAAATTTGAAACCCAAAAATTTACTTTTAGATTTTGTTTCACTTGTTGAAAGTTCATTTGATGTACTTTCATGTGTGCTTTCAGCTTTCACACTATCTTTTTTTAAAATTTTGCAGCCTATCATGTTGAAAAGTTAGATGAACCAGGTGTGCCTATTCCTCTTCATACGAAAATTGCCAACTATCAAACATTAGTTTTTGAACTGAAATTTGAAGAAAGTAAATTATATTATTTTTCTTTATTTTATATGCTTTTCATGACCTCAAATGTTACTGTAAATATTGTTGATTCAGCTTTATTGCTAAGTTTTGTGATAAAGTCAGGGAAATTTAATCAAGAGCTATTTTTTTTTCTTTTTTTTTCCCATTAGTCTGTGTTGTCATCACAAGATAACATATATAATCTTAATTGTGAAATAGCACATTTTCTGTAATAAAGTTTTATATTTAAATCAGCTTTATTAACTTTTTCTTTAAAAAAATAAGATTAAAAAAACTGATAGAGACATAAATAATCAGTTAAACAACAAGAAACATGTACAGACTAATAATATCATTTATTTACTGGTACTTTTTATCTATGTTTAAATACTCTTAATTCCTATCTCTGGGTACTATTTTAAAATTGAATTTTTGATGGGTGCAAATTTTTCTTTGATCACATCAAATATATTGTCACAGATTGACTGTATTTGTCACAGGAAATGATTTTCTCTGTTATGTATTAAATATTGACAATACCTAAAGAAAGTAGATCGAATTCTTATTAAATTCGTACATTGATAGCATGCATATACTGTGTTACTGTTTTGTTAACCTCAATCAAAATTTTTAAATCCCATGCTTATTTTATTTATTCACCATTTTACCAACTTAACTGTTTCAAGCTTAAATATAAAGTTATAACAGAACAATATTGCATTTGATCTAAATTACCCACATAATTTACTACTTCAGATATTATACAGCTTCTATGTTCCTGATATTTATTTATTCTTCATGATGTTGGTAGCATTATTAGAAGATTGTATTTTAACTGAGCACCTGTTTTAGATTGGTATACTTAAAAACTTTATTTTCCAACATCTTAAATGAGAAAGCATATTTATATACAAGAAAATTAAATTTCAAAATTATTTCTCTTTCATATATTTTTACAGCTACTTATATGTATTTATTTTATTTCATTCATGCTTCAATTCCCTATTATGCCAAGCTAATCTAGTAACTCTATTTTCATTTTCCAAAAAAAGTAGATTTTTGAAAGTTGATTGCTGATTTTTTATGCTGGAGCTGATAAATGCTTTATAAAAGTATATGTTTTGCCATAATACATAAATATAATAATGTATTTTTCGTAATTGATTTGTTTTAATTGAGAAAATTTAAGAAAAAGTGTATATAAAACCTAAGGTAAATTAACAATTATCCACAGGTGAACTATTCTCTTTAAAGTTTATCCAATAACATTTTAGGGCAAAACCTGAAATGAATTTAATGTTATATTGAATAAAAATTCATATCTTTGTGATGTTTTCTACAAATGAGATTCCAATTAAAGGCGGCTCTTCAAAGCAATATTTTGTCGATCTTATGTTCATTTTCCTCATTGTATTTCTTTTTTCCTATATATATATCCCATAAATATGGTACAGTTTCTCTTGTAAGTTGTTTGAAAATGAATTTTGCAGAATGCATTCTAGAATTCCTTTAATTTTTACTATTTCATTATGACAATCTTTAATATTATAAACAAGATTTTGACAGTCTTTCTTACCAACATTAGCTCAGGTTGATTTAATGTGTGATAGTTTTATTTAAAGAATCAATTAATAGTACCTAATATTTGAAAACACTGAGTGTGGTGCAATATTATAAATTGCTATGTTTTAAATGTTGTAAAGCAACTCTATATGTAGGCATGATATTCTCTTTCTAAACTTTAGAAGAAAATGTTCATCATCGCATAGAAGAATACAAAAAATAAAAATTAATCATTCTTAACGCTTTCATCTAGGGTAGTGTTTCTCAAACTTATGACTTTTGTGTTTATGTTCTTAATTTTTCATAACGCTGTGTACCACTAATAAAAAAAATTTATGTATTTTTTACTATAAAGAAATTGCACAGAAGTTAAAAATCACAANGTGTGGTGCAATATTATGAATTGCTATGTTTTAAATGTTGTAAAGCAACTCTATATGTAGGCATGATATTCTCTTTCTAAACTTTAGAAGAAAATGTACATCATTGCATGGAAGAATACAAAAAATAAAAATTAATCATTCTTAACTCTTTCATCTAGATCAGTGTTTCCCAAACTTATGACTTTTGTGTACCCGTTCTTAATTTTTCGTAATGCTGTGTACCACTAATAAGAAAAATTAATGTATTTTTTACTATAAAGAAATTGCACAAAAGTTAAAAATCACAACTGGCTATTGACACCACTAATTATTAACAGTTAACTGCAAAAAATAGCCAATAGAAAAATGCGTAATCGTAAATTTTCATTGCTAGCTTTGTTTTTAAATAAAAAATTTTAAAATTTTCGTTTGTTGCAAGATATTTCCCATAAGAACCCCCGCTAAACTGTTCCTGTACCCCTGGGGTTACTCGTACTACACTTTGGGAAACACTGATCTAGGGGGAAAATTTAATCATATTGATGATTTTATCAATTATTAAACTGAATATTTGTTTACAAATATTAAAACTTGCGTTGAAATCTTCCATTGGGAATATAACATAAAAAGTATTCTAGTTTAAATGTGTATTTTTTCTACAGAATTTTGTTTGACTTTATTATTATTTTATTCTCTTTAATCATGATTTATATATAAAGTTTAACAGTTTCTTAGACTGTAAATGTAAAAATATAATTAAAAAAAAGCTTTAAATAAGTATGCAAGTAATTTAAATGTTTTTTAATGTTATATTAGTTTTTTTATGTTTTTTATAATTTAAGTTGATAAGTATTTTCAGACTTTTGTTCGTTTTCATTTTTAATGCCTCTATGTAGAAATTAAAATTGAGAGGACTAATTTGTAATTGCTTCTGGTATTATTTATTTATTTATCTTAATTACTATCTATCCTAATTGAAAGTTTTTTAAGTTTACACTAATTATATTGGGGTTTTATTATTGTATTTTAGCATTTTTGTTGATGAAATGTCTTAGCACTTAATTTATAATACCCTATTAACTTGATCTTTCAGCCACTAGGGAACGTTTGCATAGGGAAAGTGAGACTGACGAATATGATGCTCACATGAAGGCTGTTGAAGCACCTTTATATAGATCTTTTAATGTCACATTTTGTCAGAAAATGGGAATGAACTATGATGTGCAATTAGGTAAAAACTTAATTTTTTTTTAATTTATATTTTTTTTAAATCTTTAACAGTAAATTATTTCTTGAAATTTTCTTAACATGCATGGTAACAACAAAATTATTTTGTACAACATATAAACTTTAATTGTAAGCATACATAATGCACAGCATTACTGCATTTAAATATTCTAATTCTTCATTCCATTTTTCAATTCTAACACCTTATTACTTTTAAACAATATATTAACCACATAATTTGGCTGTCCAGCTATTGCCCTCTGCTTTTCTCACAAAGAAGTGTATCGATTTCTATTTTAACTATTATCCAGAGAATTCCGTGATATTGTTAAAGTTCTTGACACATTTAATTTTAGTTAGTTGGCATTAAATCACACAAACCACCATAGGTATGAGTTCGAGCCACTTCAGCATAAAGACGCAGAAGAGGCATTTAAATTATTCCTATCTCTGTCCTGAAATATGATAGAAAACTCTTCACAATGCTCCAGTACCTGCTATACTACTTTCTCAAGCACCTCTCAAGCCATAACTGGAGTGTCGTTTAATATTATATGTGCTAATGCTCCCCAAATAGTTTTATAAGTATGCGACACCAGACCACCTTTTATGCTTAAAATTTCTGCAGCCTTTTTAAAGAGGACCAAAAATTAATCTAAATAATTACTTCATAAATGGGTTCTTATTTCAATAAAAATAAGAATTATTCTAATAAATACTTAACTTATAACTAACTATTCAATACTACTTAAATTATTACTTATGACAGCCTTACAAAATTAATCTAAGTAATTACTTAATGTATAACTAATTGCTTATATAACGCTGCATTAATTATTACTTAACCCTTTCGAGCCTAATGGGACACATACGTCCCAAGCAAATTTTTAAAAAATCTTATGGGACAGAAACCCTTCCTTGTCTAATGGGAGACTTTTCCACCAGTCCTGCCAATATTTTTGAAGATAATTTCATTTACAGAACATACATGGCACTACCGTGCATAATGCTGCCCTACTCATAGTTTATGCTTCCAAAATTGTTCTGTTGTAAAAAAAAATACTCGTCGCGAAAGGGTTAAAATAACCTAACAAAAAAATAATAGCAATAATGTTGCTAATAGATAGAATAGAATAATTCTGCTTAAGAGGAATATATATATAGATTATTAGCTATGTTCATTTGGTGATATTGCATTTAACGATATTAGTATGGCATTGTATGCTGTTTTTATATTTTAAATAGTTAAGTACACCTAAGACAGAATTTCTATTGTTCTAAATTTCTCCTAGTTTAGTTTTCCGAAGTATGAAAAGTTTTAAATACTACGGAGAAGTAAATTTCCTACTTTTTATTTACTTTTTCCATATTTTACATTAAAATTTTTTCAATTTGTGAACAACTTTTTAATATTTTGCTTTTCTATTCGTAGACAAATTGTTATTTTGTCATAAATGGAGGGCCCTAAAAATGTGTTTAAAAATTACATTCAAACCATTTTCTCAAAAATCCTTTATAAGTTCTGATTTTTCAATCTTTTTTATTAATAATATTAAAATTTAAATACAGTTGAGTGAAAATGTAAATTATGTAATGTATAAATTTAGAATGACTGATTGTTATGCGTGTTCAGGGCATCCTAGTTCTACAAATACGGTTTTTTTTATTTTATTATTTATTTGAAGATTTGGATTTTTGATCCAACATCTTCTTTTGGCAAGCAATTTTAGCAGAAATTGCAAAATTCAATAGTTCCAATTTAGAGGTTTTGTACTGATTATAAACATGGTTCAGACATATAGCCTTACTCACAGGATTCATTGTTTAAACCTTTCTGGAAATGATGAGTTGAAAGCAGAGATGATCCACTAAATTTATTTTTGTGCAAAAATTTTAAACTATATATTTATTACTGTGTTTTCATTCCAAGATTATTGAAATCCTACTTTAAAATTATTTGATAAAAGGAATTTTGATTTTTAATTGTATATTGGTGTAATGGAATATTAACTAATTGATCTTTTTTTTTTAATGCAACCATATTATAAAATTTTTTCCATGTTTTGATTTTAAACTGATTTGCTCATTAATGATAAAATTAGGTTGGAAACTGTTAAAACTTTCTGTTCTGATCAAGTGTTCTTTTATTCAGTTAGAAGGAAAAGGTGTCTAAAACTGTATTATATGGTCCTCTTGTGATCACATCTTTGAACTAAATTTCTGAGCCATTGCCGTGTAACCAACTTATTCTTTTTTGTTACTTAAATTTTTGTTTCTCAATATCAATTTTTCATTACCCTTGCCAAAGGAGGACAAAAAAATGCTGCTTCTTTTTTCTTCGGATCCTTAAGCTTTTTCATTTTTAATTATTACGCAAGAAGAAAAAGAATTTTCATTATTTTTTTTATCATTTATTTTCTTTAACTTATTGTAATTCATCTAAAAATTTTATATAATGTTAAATTTTTTTTCAACTGTTGCTAGATATTTAGTTGCTAGATCTTATGAGCTTTTTCTTTGTCCTCATAGGAATATCTGGTGAAAAAGTTGAAATTAATCCTCTTCCTCAAAAAGGTGCTGCTAAACTCCTGACACGACAACAAAAACCTACCACATTATATATGGACACAATTGCGACTTGTGAAATAATTTCCAAAAGATACAGTAAGTATTCAAAATTTTGTATCAACATTTCATGTATTTATGAAACCATTTGTTAGAAATAATAAAGAACAATTTATTTTTCATCTTTAAATTTCTAAGCATCTAAGATTATGTTATGTTATTTCTTAATATCACTATACTGTGTCACATGATATTTCTAAATTTTTATATATTTTAACTGGCATCATTTAAACTGTTTGATTTAAGTTTTGTTGTTCAAAAGAACAATGTGCATATATTTTCCCTCAATAGTGTTTTACTATATAAAATATTTAGACTCAAAAACAAATAAATCCATTCTCTCTTCACCATTTGTGTAATTTACTTAAATTTTTTATTCTAAACATAACAGATCTTTTCATTTTAGTTTCTTACTAAATTAGGATTCGTCAGATATTTCTGTACATTAGGATATGCATGTATTAGTGGTAAAATTTAACAGAGTAGATTTTTTTTCTAAACTTAATATGTCCCCTGTTGCACAATTAGATTAATCAAAACTATTCTTAAAGTTATTCATTCACAGAACTAAATATTTAGCTAAATAAAGTATTTGCCACAACTTACTATATTTCCTTGTTGTTGAGAGTCACATTACATTTGTTTTATGAACCTGAAATTTTGCACAAATTGTTATTATTTTATAGAAACAAGGGATTGGAGTTAAACTTTTAAAAAGTTAAAATATAACGGCCACCCAAAAATTCAATAGTTGTATTCTAAACCTTGTACTAAGTATTTCTAAATTGATAACTGCAAACATTAACTATATTATTTTGTGTGTGCAAATAATCAGTAACTTGTCTAAAATGCTGCTTTAAAATTTTTATCAATCATGTAGCAAGTGGTTATAGTTCTCAAATATTTATTTCCAATTTCATAAGCATGAATTAAAACTTATTATATTTTTTAAATTTCTCAATCATGCAATAATAAAGTTCGTTTTTTTTTTATTTATTTATGTTTTACTTTGTTTATATATGTATTTTTTTAATTTTTCTTTTTTGATTTTGCTATGAATAAAACAAATTGTATTTTCGGTTCAAAAGCAAAAAATAAAGCTCTTATATGTTGTGTGTATTTTTTTTTCATTTGTTTTCCTTTTTAATTTTGTAGTTTTTTTTATTGTTAAATAGCATATTTATTTTAAAGATTTTTTAAGTATTTAGTTGATGTGATAAAATAAAAATAATTCCGTAACTTTACCGAAACAAAAAAACTATTTGTTCATGAATGACTAATTTTCTCTTGGTTTTGACCATACAGGAAAATTTATCCTGTGATTTAAAAACTCTGTACAATTACTTTTATTCTTTGATTTTTAACTTAATATTCTAAGTGTACACACTTTTATTGCTTTTCAAAAAATTTGCTGTTAAGGATGTAATTCCAAACATGACTGCTCTATATTTACAAATCGCTAATAAATTTAATAATGGATATTTCTATATTGCATTGTTAATGTTTATTCATAACACGACCTGCCCTATTTAAGGGCATACGATATATTGCATTATTAATATATTTTTTGAAACAATGTAAGCCGAAAGAAAGGATTTAGAAATTTATGTCTAAAATATACAAGTATTTTTTTTTCATTGTGTAGTTCTTTTAGCAGCAACAAAATTGCTTAAGAATGTTAATTTTAATAATCAATTAGTTTTCTTGTTTTTTATATATACTTGATTTTGTGATACTTAGTTTCAAGTTTTTGAATAAATTCTGCGTTTATTTAAATATTTCAGTGCTCCCTCATGTAGTTGATTGATTTTTTATTAATGCATGTTTGAAAGTTCTTTTCCATTTCATTTGTGAATATAAAACTCATTGAATTTTATTCTTTTAAAGATGATCTTTGGTATTATATATTTGTTTATTAGAAGTCAATGTATTAAACAATGCTTGGTATTTAAAATTTTATAGAAATGCATATAAGAAAATTTTTTGAATAAAAATTGTTTGCATATTTTAAATATTTATTAGAAAATATACATTAACGACAACATATATCATTAACTTCATGCAACATGAATGATTCTCTACTATAAAATGAACACTTTTTCATCTTCTATGTCATTTTTATTTTGTAATGTCTTTCCACTGTATCAAAACTTTCTTTTCTTATTTTTTTAAAAAATATGAAAATAATGTTGTTTTTTTTACATAAAATTATTTGTAGCTCAAATTTTTTCATAAAATTTAAATTCTTTGTTAAGTTATCAACAAGTAACTCTTACTAAATTTGTCTGGTAAACTTACTGAATCTGGTTTGTATACTAGGTAAATCTTGCTTGTAAGTTCAAGACTTACCTATTTTATAGTTGCCAATTATATTGGATTTTCCAATAAACATTTAGGTTTTTGCAGTATCTCGTGTCTTATAAAAAAAAAATTCTCTTAAATTTTGTTTATTTCTAAAAAATTGCTTCAATTGAAAAAGTTCCTGCAACAAAAAATTATTAAAGATTTTTTATTTAATTTATTGTTTGTGTTATCAAGTAGTACTGTTAAGCATTAAGAGTAGTAAGCCTCATTTAAAGTTTGAAGCTCTTTTTTTAATTTTCTAAAAGCTTGACAACTTTCTGGTTTTAAATTAAGAACATGGTGCATAGCATTTTTAAAAAGTGCTTATTTTTTATTGTCGTTTTTTAAAAGGCCTTAAAGCTGTTTTTTTCATTAGGTGTTTTTAAAATGTAGTACTTAATTTTTCTTTTTCTAAAATAAGATTTTTTTTCCTGTACTTCGTCGATTTTCGCCACATATTATGCAACAGCATGCTTTCCAAATTGTTCTATTCAACGTTTTCATAATTCATTCAACCAATATCTATTTCGGCACCCGGCCGGTCCATAGTATATGAAAGTGTCAATCATTTTACATGTTTGAAATACTTGCAAGTCCGCGTATTCGTCTACTGAGCTGGATTCTGAGAGATTATTGCACTTTCATGTGTGATTCTGCTGCATTTAGCAAGATGTTCTCAATTTCAGGCTTCATTTTCCACCCTCTGATATCCAGCCGAAAAATCTCTTGATCATTTTATAATGGCTAATATAATCAAAAAAAGAGTTCTTTGTCTGAAACTAGTTATTTTAACATGATCGTGTAAAGTCTTTGAAAATTATGTTAATGTATATGCATTTTGTTAATGTATATGTTACGGTGAAACACCGAAATCTGGAGAATGTCGACATTCACGTAATCGCTTGGTGTATGTCCGAAATATTTGCTAAATACCCTTATTTCTTACTCTAACCAGTGAATGTCAACAATCACATAATCGCTGTGGTGAATGTCCGAAATATTTGTTATATCCAATTTTGTGTTAATTTATTCGTTAATATTATTATATTTATTTGATATATTTATTCTATATTTTAATACTTACTGACGATAGATTAGAAGAAACATCAGTGTTTGAAGTATCGGGCAATGGCGCTTGACCTTAAAAAATATATCAGTGTTGGATTTACCGGGCAAATGTATACCGGGCAGTGGCACTTAACCTTAAAAAAGAACATCAGTGTAGGGTATACCGGGCAGTGGCACTTAACCTTAAAAAAACGTCTGTGCAGGGTTCAAATATTGAATAAATGTAATTATATCCACGAATAAATTCATATCAAATCGAATGTAATAAATATTTCGGACATTCACCAAAGCATATCTGTGATTGTCGACATAAACTGGTGAGGGTCCGAATGTACAAGACTGTAATGAAATATTCGATCTTTCACCGACGTATTTGGTGTTTGTCAGCATTCACTGGTGAAAGTCAACAGCCACCGATTTCGGTCTTTAGCCGTGACATATATAGTGCTTTAAAAAAATTTTTAGTGNAATCTATGTAACTAAATTTATTAATATTTATTGAAGATGGTATTATAACTTGTATAGGGTATTAGTGGATTCATGACGGTTTTTCTCAGGGATCTTTTTTTTTGGTTCTGACGTCCGCCGGATGCGGGATGACTCTGGACGTGGTAAACAGGTCAGTCTAGATTCTTTCGCCTTGTTGACGGGAGGATAAAAGAGAAGCGATGAATGTGGCTAGTAGCAGTTGCAGTACCAGTAGTAAGCAGTTAATCAGAGCAGTATCCTGGGGATACGGAGTTTGTCCGCTGAAGGAGTGGTTCGTGACAGTATCTCGGAGATGGTGGATCGTAACCTTAGGGAAAGCTAAACTGAAGTCTCTAGCGGGAAGGACTACCGGGATTAGCCAAAAGCCGATATCTTTGAGACGATGGGCCAAGTCCGAAGGAATCTATGCTGGACGTCCGGTGTCCCCCTTCTACATGCCTAAGTCGCTTGAAATTAGAATAGCTGGAGAAATTTCGAGATCCTAGCCGAGGAGTTTGTCCATGAGTTCATCTACCTTTCCGGTGGGCGGTTCCAGAGTGAAAGCAGTAAATTCCGTAGGGTACTTATAAAACTTTAAATTTTATTTCGTTAACATTTTAGAGGAATCATTTACCGAATATTCTGAGCTGTTATGTTGTGTTTTTTTTTGTGTAGGAGAACAATCAGTATTTAAGTGTAATTTATAGATATCATAAACCAAGTCTGTGTTTTTAGAAATGTTAAATGAAGTTTTTATTTTATAAATGTCTTTTTTTTTGAACTGTAGAAGTTGAAGGTTATGCTTGAGTGTTTTAAGGTTGCATTTTTGTTTTAATTAATGTATAAATGTTTATTCTCATGTTGGCATTTGGAAATGTGTGAAATTATGTTTTTTGAAGATTTAGAGGTGCAATAAAAATGAGTTTTAAATGTTGAAAGTTTTCTGTAATTCATTAGATATTTGTCTACTAAATAACCTGGGTAACCGTTACTAAATTTAAATTTTGAGTTCACAGCCAAAGGGGTAACGGTACAGTTATAACCATCTAAAACTAATTCAATGTCTATTGTTAATCAAAGTTATGAATTCAGAAATGTAATATACTTAAGAACATGGTGCATAGCATTTTTAAAAAGTGCTTATTTTTTATTGTCGTTTTTTAAAAGCCCTTAAAGCTGCTTTTTTTCATTAGGTGTTTTTAAAATGTACTTAATTTTTCTTTTTCTAAAATAAGATTTTTTTTCCTGTACCTCATAGATTTTCGCCACATATTATGCAACAGCATACTTTTCACATTGTTCTATTCAACGTTTTCATAATTCATTCGACCAATATCTATTTCTGCACCCCATCGGTCCATAGTGTATGAAAGTGTCAATCATTTTACATGTTTGATGAAATACTTGCAAGTCCGCCTATTCGTCTACTGAGCTATATTCGGAAAGATTATTGCACTTTCATGTGCAATTCTGCTGAATTTTGCAAGATGTTCTCAATTTCAGGCTTCATTTTCCACCCTCTGATATCCAACCGAAAAATCTCTTGATCATTTTATAATGGCTAATGTAATCAAAAAAAGAGTTCTTTGTCAGAAATTAGTTATTTTAACATGATTGTGTGAAGTCTTTGAAAATTATTTTGCATTTTGTTAATGTATATAGTGCTTAAAAAATTTTTTTTGAGTGCTTAAAAAATACTTAAATTATGCTTATTATTTGTTGAAAAATTTGGCTGTGCATCCTGAGGTAGAATAATTTATATTCCCATCATTAAGTTTTGTGTTTTATTGACTGTAAACATTTTGCTCATTACCCAATAATTAGTGTGAAATTTTAATATTTTTGTATAATCTACTGGATTTTCTCCTTTTTTTATTGGCACCTACAACATTCTTTATTTTCCTGAGTAATTTTTTTTTTCTTTTAAAATTTAGATCCTGGAAAATGCACTTTTAAACTGGTTCATTTGAACCAGACTGCAGGAAATGAATTCAAGAAATTTGTTTTTGAGACAGATCCCCCAACAGCTCAAGATATTGTTAAGAAAGTTCAGCTCATCTTAGAAATGGGAACCACAAATGCTTGCAAAGAATATCAAATCTACAGGGAGAAAAAACTTCTAAAGAAATTTCAAAAATCCCAACAAACTTTTAAGTCATGATTGTTATAATTTTAACAATCAATTTTTTTTAATTCTAAAAAGAAATCTGTAACATATCAATCATTGTTATTTTAATTTCTTGTTTGTTAAATATTTTGAATGTAACTAAATTTACTCAGTGATTTTTATTTTATTTATTCATTATTACTTTTCGTTTTGACGTTATGGTGTTGAAACTGAATTATGTGTTTTGTTGAATTATTAAATAAATTTGAAATAATTTACCAAAATGTTATTCTGAAGGTAACTTTAAAACCTATTTTGCTTGAAGTGGATAGTTATTAATTGCCTTATTATTATCGTCATATTAGGACTAAATTTGGACAATATGCCAAAAATTATTGATACTTTTTGAATATCAGAATAATAATATTTTGAAAATGTCCTCACATTATATCAGAAATATCATGCAATCATACAGAAATATGCCCACAATGGTTATATATTGATTATAAATAATGATAATAATCGACTAATATCATGGTAATTACCGTCAATGATATTTATTGAACATGATAATATTGGGATAACTATCAAAGACTTATCAAACCAGACAAAATTGTAACAATACTATAGTGAAGTTCAAAACTAACTCACTCCGCATATCTTATGTTATATTTTTTCTCATGAATTTTTTATAATTGTAATTAATAAAAATGTTTAAAAAATGGTTTTTACTTCAAATGAGGAATGAAAAATTATCCAGTATGGAACTAAGGTTTATTGTTTAAATAAATACAGATGGAGTGTATTATCTTGAGAATTGCATAGCAATCTATGATTGAGGATATAATTTTATGCTTTATAGGCATCTTTCCACTGTCCAACCATGACCAGGCATCTAGCCAGGTTTTTTTAGGCTCTATCTTTTAACAGCTATATCTGGAATGCCACATAATTTTAACCCCAGTAAAATGACAGAGACAGCATCTGAGCTTTTATCCCTCACTCCAAACTTCCACAACACAATCAATGAAAGGACTTAGAACCACGATAGATTTAGCATGCACCTTTCTGTGTAATCGAGCTGGGTTGTTAAACCCGCTTCCAGGATTAAATTTACGACCTCGAGATCTCCAACGGCGGATTGAGTGATGCCTTTACTGACTATGCCCATGGAACGTCATCTGTTTATATGGATTTGAACCAATTTATCCTACTTGTATTAATTTGTTAATTTCATGTTTTCCAATTGTTAATGATTGTTGTTTAAAATTTTATCCATATAGGCAAAAAATAGCTGTTTTATTGTTGTATGATGATTTGCAAGCTACAAAGCTTATTGAGTTGGTTGCCAAATCATTAAAATATGATAAAACTGCTATGTGTTGCCCTATTTAAATGATATTTTTGATGATAATAATGAAAAAAAGCACAATTTAAATATGATTAAGGTAATTAGATGATAAAAATATGACTAAAATACATATGTAAGGCCAATCCATGATGAGAAGACGCTCCTAGTCGTCTATAATGACATGTTTAGTCATAATTTGCTAAGCAATACTCAAGCCAATATTAAAAAATAAAACTCAGTGAATAATAAAAGATAGAAACACAATATTAAAATTCACAAATCATATTATGTGCTCCATTGTCCCTTCCAATTGTGTTCATTAATTTTGTTAAACTATGAATAGGAAATTGCAGTTATTTCCCAACAATAAAACACAAAATTTAAATTCTGATATCTCCCAATGCTATTAAGAATGTGATTTCCATGTGATTAAAAAATATTCAGCAGTTAAAAAATTAGTTCTCAGAATGACTTTTTTACGTGAAATAAACATAATATTTTATTTAAAAAAAATTTTAACTTAACCAGATGTTTTGATTGCGTGTCTTAGTAAAAAAAATTATAATTAAAGGCAATAAATTTCTATTGCCAAAAACTATGTTATGTAACAGAAAACTTGCTATTTTTCTAAAATCCTTAAAACCTTTTTCTTGCTTTTTTATTATTTCGTTGGTTATTTGGCATTGATTTATATTTATTTGTTTTTGTAATTGTTTAATTTGAAATAACTTAGCATTTTCTGATATTTAACAATTATTTTATAATATTAAACTAATCTTAAGTTTTTTTTCTTTGACTATCTTATTGAGATCCAAAAATGTAATGAACGATTTTGATAAAACTTGAAGGATTAAAATTGGTTAAATGTTCTCAATTTTTCTATGAGTTTAAACTATTGAATTCCGAAATATTGTAATTATATAATCCCTTTACATTTTTAATACATAGTTGTGATAAACTTAAATTTATTTTATATAACACATCTTACCACTTATAATTAACATAATACATTAAGAAATTCTCATTCTACCAAAAAGGTAAAATGAGAATTTCTTGAATGAGAATGTAGTTTTTAATTGTGATATAATTAGAATTATGAAGAAAACTTATTGGTTTATAAATTATATACCATTTGGTTAGATTCTTATATCTTCCTCAAAATTACTTCTTGGTTTAAAAAATTAGAGCTTAAACTCTACCGGGCAACTTTATAAATGGGACATTTTTGCTATAAAAAATTGTCAGATTATCAGACTTTACATCAGATTACGAGAAATTGTCAGATTTTATGGGTATAGAATTAATTTATTTCAAATTCAATGCTATTTAGTAGCATTTTCACTTGGAAGATTTTTTTAACAATAAAAAAACTTATTGTTGAAATATTTCACTTATCTGGTATATTTTATATAGGTGAAATGCTAGAGCAGTAAACAAGTCAGAAATTTTAAAACTATCTTTTATTTTATGTCCAATGCTATCAACATTGCATGCAAGTCTAGCATTTGACTTCATATCTATTTTATATCTCAGTGTGGAAGTCAATTAATTTATTTCGAATTCTATGTCAATTAATTTATTCAAAATTAATTTATTTTAAATTCTTTCGAACCCCAAAATTTTACAAAAATCAAGTGGTTGACGTATACACTGGTAATGAAATCAGACATTCTTTAACATGAAATATCAATTCGTTATAAACAATGAGAAAGATATGCATAGTTTTAAATCAATTTATCCCTTTTAAAAACTTTTTTGATGATCTTTAATACAATCAATTTTGCATTTTCTTTAATCATATTTAGATACGTTTTTTTTTTAGAAACTANATCAAGTGGTTGACTTATACACTGGTAACGAAATCAGACATTCTTTAACATGAATTATCAATGCGTTATAAGCAATGAGAAAGATATGCATAGTTTTAAATCAATTTATCCCTTTTAAAAACTTTTTTGATGATCTTTAATACTATAATAATAATTTTGCATTTTCTTTAATCATATTTACATACGTTTTTTTTTTTTTTTTTTAGNTAGTTCTATTTAATTGTCTTGAGTTTCAGAAAAATAATTAAGAGTAAGAAAAGATAAGATAATTTATTGAAGAGTATTTAAAAAAAATACAATACAAAACTTTTAAAACATGCCATAAAGCTACAAATTTAAATATTTCAGAACATCATCTAGGTCTGATTCAGTAACGCTAGCAATGTCTAAAAACATGCACCATTCTGCTATAGATTCTACTATATTCTCATCTGAGTCCCACAAAAAAATTGTCTACTTCTCTATCCAAAAAATCTGAAATTTCACACTTTTTATAAGATTTTACAATAAAATTTAAAAAAATCATAATTGGTTTTGAAATTTTGGATTTTTTTCTTGAAGATTAAGGTATTAAAACATTTTTATGTAGAAATTTTATTTTTATCATTTTTTTAAAATTATTGTCCTTTGTAACAGTACTTCTGTTCATTAACGCAACACTATTGCTGTTACTTGTGAATCCCAATTGAATGCTTGTTTATGTTAGAAAAAATAAAAATCAAAGCTGGTGGTATATTCAGAATTTAGTTTGAGACTTAATATTTTTGAGGATTAATATTTTTAGCTTAATATTTTTGAGGATTTTGACTGAAAAATTATATTTTGTTATATTCGGAAATATTTTAAAATCATATTCTAATAAACTATAACAATTATTGTTCTTTAATTAATTTTTTTGAACTATACAAAATTGCATTAGACTGAAAGTTGAATGAAATTCTGTTTGATATTTTAAATTACTAGTTTTAATTTATGATTTCAAGTTATCCAAATTACAACAACCTTTGGGTACCAATTATTTTTGGATAGTTCACTTCTTTATATTATGTTAAAAATTTAATTACCTAAAGCTTTCTTAAAAGAATTTTTCTACTTACATCTATGCTTTAATAAAGAGTGAACCAGAAGTATGTAAGAGAAATATTCTTGGAAATTTACCAATGCTTTGGAAAGTTAAAACGGACTTATTCAATTTTATGGTTAGTAACCTCATAGGTCTTGTTTTAACTCTTAGCAATTATTGCAAGCTATTGTATATTGTAGCATAGCTACCAATACAATTTCAATTCACTAGTATATAAGGCATGTTAACTCAATTCTTTTTTGAAGTACCTTTAGATAAATAGCGAGATTGACATTGTCGGTAGCATACACTCACATTGATGACTCTTGGACAAGATCTGAACATACCAACCTCAACAGATGCGCTTACTTCGATATGAACACTTCTACTTTGATGGATGGAACACTGTGAACAGTTGACTTGCAGTTTGTGACTGCAATATTGTCCTCTTAACGCCGTTGATACTCAGTCTGGCGTTCACACACAAAGTTGGCCTGTATACACTCGGCTGCTAATGGCAACACAGGAGCAACCACAACCGTGATTTTTTAATGAATCAACTAGTGATATCCATTTATTGAATTCTATCCCTAAGAAAATCTGGTGGGGGAGTATTATAGCATAGCTACCAATACAAATATTCCATTCCAATTCACTTGTATTTAAGACATGTTAACTCAATTCTATCTGGAGGTACTTTTAGATAGATAATGGTTGACACTGTCAGTAGCCTATCCCAACAGTATAAAAAGCCATAATTATAATGTGAGAAAATGCTTTCTAATAGCCTGTATTCTAATTTATTAATTTTTCGTTTAAAATATTATTTTAAGTTCTATGAAGAAAAAAAATTAGTGTAGAAATTTTATGAGTTTTAATGCTTTGAAGCTTGTTATTGTTGAGTATTGTTACTATAAATAAAAAAAATTTATTTTAAGATAATGTATTATGCAATATGAATGTATTTTTTCAAAATAAAAGCGAAAAACTTAACTACCTCAAAAGTACTTTATTATTATTTTTTTATTTTATGAGTAATGTTTTATCTTTTACTTATCCATATAAAAA